GAATTTGGGGGGGGGGGGGTTGTGAAGAGTGAGGGGTTTTTTCATTATCATTTGTGAAGTAGATTTGAACACTGCCTGTCCCAACAAAGGGTTAAAGGATTAAAAGTCTGACTTCTGCATCCAAATGTTAATGTAGTTAATGAGAGAAACACAATCCTCAAATTTCAGTTTCAAAGCCGGGTATACGCGCTTCAAATTTTGGCTGGTTCTTGATAAATCAGCTGAAATTTGCTGTGTGGTTGCCTCTGCTGATCGAAGAACCCGCTCAGAAAATTCAGCAGCTAGCTCTGTTTGGGTATTCTGGCAATGGAGGCCGGCTGCTGTCAAAATACAAAGGAAATAGGGTGGAATCGTCGATCGATGCTCGCAGCGTTAATGAAGGAATCTGTTCTATTTTCTTCGTTCAGCCTGCGGGTTGAACAAAAAAAATAGAACCGTATAGCCTCATACTATAGAACTGCTTTGGTATAGATTTGGCCACTGGAAGGTTACTCTGTAGATCAATTGGGACATGCTTGGTTATTGTGGCAGAGTCCAGAATGTCACTGGGCTGTTTCTTTAACCTAGAGAAAACCTTCAGAAACAGAAACAACCGCTCCAAGCTCACTCCTGTGATGTACTACAATCTCCTTTTCAGTTTACTAATTTGTATTGAGATTGTAGTCCATCACAGGAGTGAGCTTGGAGCGGTGGCAACTTTACAACACACACAGGGACCATGGGGAACAAAAGTAGCCCCCCTCCAGAAGGAAGGACAGTGTCAGCACCAATTCAGAGATGATTTGAGGATGTACAGCTGAGTGATACACAAATAAGATACATTGTTGTTAATCGTTAAGATACATGAATGCATTTTTAAGATGTAACTCCTGAGTTTTGTATCACTTTAATATCCTCCAGTGAATTGACAGCTTTAAGGGTAGTTACACGTTTGCAGACAAATTTGAGGAAACCCCATTATATGTTTATTATGTGTTCCTATTTACACAACATACCTAAAATATATCTTTATAAAACACTTCTTACCTTTTTAGATGTGTCTGTGTAGCTGGAGCCTTTGGAGCTTCTCTGTACAAGTTCAAAGTGACAGGAAACTCTGTCTGTCCCCATAGCCTAGGGAGAGACTGAGCTTCCTCTAATTACCATGCAAAGCTTCTATATCTTCAACCCTTTCTAAAGGTGCCCATACACCTTACGACCATCGCAAGACTTTTGTCTTCCGATGGTCGTATGCATATTGAAAGCTCGTACGATCTGCCCACCTTGGACGGGCAGATCGTACTTGCGATCATCGAAAGCCAGCCCCACTGAGTGGCGGGCTTCCGATGACCGCAATGCAGAACGGGCAGTGGGCGCGTGCGCACACCGGCCCGTTCCACAGCTATCGAACGAGCAGGCTAGAAACCCGCCGACAATCGTACGATTCTCGGCGGGTTTTCGAGCATGCTGGTTCGACAAAAGACGTGCGACCGTACAGTAGAAACGGTCGCACACCTTCCATACACTGTACGATTTTCGTACGATCGCGGGATTTCCTGCGATTCTCGTACGAGAATCGTACAGTGTATGGGCACCTTTAGGACAGACCGTATTCATATTTAGTTTACAACTGATAATGAGGTCTACCAGCACAGAACAAACAGGGTTATTTGGGTTACACATTACATCCCTAAACCCCTTGCATTCCAGAGGAAAACTCAGTTTATAGAAAAGCTTTTATTTCAGGATAGAGCAAGTTATATGTAAGCAGCAATGTTTAAGTATTTCTATTTAAGTTATTCTATATGAATGGGATTATGTAACAAATATAAAATAAGTGTGATCCCAAATTGGCTGCAACAGTAGAAATCTACTTTAAACTGTATAAAAATAGTTGCCCGCTGTTTGCACCAGTTATATGCATACTTAAATCTTACTATTTGTCTACTGAGGTTTAATTGCAGTGCATTGTTGGCTTCAATCTGTGTTTGTGTAAAGAAGTGGTTCTGTGACTCAAATTTGCATTGTCACCTCCTTAGAACTTTGAACTTTATTTTGGTGAGGCCAGGAGAAGTCTGTTCTACTTAGGCTTGTCCCTGAATAGGGATCTCATGCTCAGACTTGTGCTGATCTCTCCGGGAAGATCTACAAGAAATGTAAGGGTTCATCAGGAGGGGATAGATGTGGAGGGCTTGCAACTTACGTGTAAGCTGTCTAACTGAATACTTCATGTAGCTTGGCAGCCAAAAGCTCTCAGCAATTGTTCTGTGGAATGGTTGTGGCATAAACAAGTAGGCTACTTCTGCATCTACCAGCTCTGCGTTCCCAGTATTAAGCCAATCCAAGTCTGCAGATTTATGCTTTGCTCTGCAAGTCCTCTTTTCTGGGAGGACGGTTCATTATTGCCATCTGCCCACCCTCTTAAAATGGCACTAAACTCAGGAGCTAAATCTTAAAGATGGATTCAAGTACCCTCACCAATCACAAAAATGTATCTTATTTGTGTATCACTCGGCTGTAGATCCTCAAATCGTCTCTGAATTGGTGCTGACACTGTCCTTCCTTCTGGAGGGGGGCTACTTTTGTTCCCGATGGTCCCTGTGTGTGTTCTAAAGTAGTCACCGCTCCACGTTCACTCCTGTGATGGACTACAATCTCACGTTTAGTTTTCTAATTTGTATTGAGATTGTAATCCATCACAGGAGCGAGCTTGGAGTGGTGGCTACTTTAC